AAACAACTGAGTGAGAAGTGATACCTTGTTGTGATATTGCATTAATTGAATGATAACGCGAATGTCATCCGAGTAATTCTTGATGGAGATGACACGCATGATGTTCGCCGCGTCTTCTGCATCTGGATCTTGACAATACTTGTTCGCCAGTACCAAACACGCGTCTGCCTCGTGGACCTAAAAACGATCGAGTCATTTTGTCCCACTGCGTATTCACTCCGACCGAGCGACGAATCGAAAACGAGTATGTATGTAGTTTTATTTGGGGGATTGGGGACGACGGTCAGAAAGCAATCGCAAAATAGAAACTGCACTTTTCGAACAAATCAATCGGAACGAAGGAACCGCCGGCAAGAGGAAAAATGAAAAAAATCGTTGCGCAAAACTGAACTTTCGTTTCATCGGTCCTCGGTCAATTGGAAAATAGATTTTCTTCCCGAATCTGAGGGAACAATTTATCGTTCATTGGGACGAGAGTGTGTCCAATAATTGGCAATAATAAATAGGAAAGCAAAAGTCCGCCGTGTACGAGGTACAAATGTGATTTTTCTTTCTTTCGATCGAGTGAAGTGCGTCGGGGATGAAGGACGAAAAGAACATGGAACAACTAATTTCTGATTACATTCAGTATAATGCAGGAGTAAATGCAGCTACGCTTCGAAAGTAAGCGTTAAATACTAATTGCTAATATGCGTCGCGGATACGTGCGTGTTTTTTCTTCTCTTTTTTTCATCGACGTTTCAACGAGAATTTTTCAAAAATTTTTCACCGTTTTGCTAGAATTTGCCAGAAGAATTCACATAAATATTGACAGCGTTCTCATTACACCGCGTATATTACAAAATATAATTACACGTATCTTCGACACAACGACAAAGTAGGGAAGCAAACTGTTACGACGACATTCCTTAAATACGCGTGAATCAAACGACGATTCATAATATATCATAAAGTATACATCTGCCAACATGCTCATCTACCAATCGGGCTTAAATTTCTAATCGTTGTAAAAAGAAATATTGTACAAATAGTCAAGCATACTATTCTGTCATTTCTCTCTTTTTTTCTTTTTTTTTTTTTTTTTTTTTTTT